TCTCTCTCTCTCTCTCTCTCTCTCTCTCTCTCTCTCTCTCTCTCTCTCTCTCTCTCTCTCTCTCTCTCTCGTGGTCTTCTTGTTGCAGGTGTGCGGCGTCTTCTTCCACCTCGAGGTCCGCTACCGCGGACTGCCTCCTCCGGCAGTCACTTCAGCTATGGCACATTTGCCCTGCAAACATCGCGTGCGTGGAACAACGGGTACATGCTCCGATACCAATGCAATCAGACTCGGCTTATTCACACTTCATCATGCATGCAAATAGCGATACACCAAACTTGCGACATTCGCCCACACAGTACTCAACGATATCGTGATTAAATAAGAGTTCTCTTCAAACTGGCTATGGCGACTGTGCGCCCACATTACGCACTGTTCGCACTCTAGATCACCCTGGATGTCCCACACGCAACACTCTGGACATACACACGACACACACACACTACTATAGCTATGGCAGCTATGGCTGCCATGACCATATCGCTACACTACACTTCTCTGCCCACTTCGTCTTCGGGCGCACTGCAGACCTCCTCGCACAAGGTGTTGAGGCAGCGCTTCCGCATGGCATCCGCAGGAATGAATGAATGGCTGGACGCAGCCTCTTGATTTATACTTATGCGCTGTGCTGGTGTGCCCTGTGTCCCTTGGCCCACGAGGTGCACACAGTCCCAGGCGGTACTTGCTGGACAGGACCGGACTGACTAATTGGGACTGTTGACTCAGCAAGGTGGTCTACCACCACTTGACCACTTGCCTCTGCTGTATGCAGGCTAACTCTAAAAGGCCAGTTCTAGAACTCTCTACTTTGGCCTTTCGGTACTGTAGCAGCTACGACTTTGCCGTTTCAGGTAAGTAGCAGCTACGACCTTGACTCCTCTATCAACGCCTGCTTCAATTTCTTCATAGCAGACGTGCAATCCTTGTCCCACTTCCAGATTGTCTCTTTTCTCAGCAATCTGCGAAGGGGCGCAACGATGGTAGAGAAGTTCCTCACGACCTTCCTGTAGTAATTCGCTAAGCCCAGAAACGAGCGCAACTCTGTCAGCGTGCGTGGCGTGGGCCAGTCTCTAATCGCTGCGATCTTGCTATCCTCTAACTTAACCTTGATTAGGGTTTTCTTAGGGTTTTTGTAGGGTTTAGGGTTCCACACAACCCCCCTACTTCCCGGTCCTCTTCGGGCACCCTGGACTCGAACCACCCCTCCCCCTTTGACGGCGCCCGTGCTAGCCTTGGTAGCGCCGTTCGCCGCTTTCTACCGTGGACTTCCCCTCACGCCCTCTGCTCACGCGGACCTCTCTGGCCCCCTCCGGTCCGGTCCGTCATCTCGCCATGGCTGACGGTGCGTCACACGCCGCCGACACGGCGATGACCACGGCATCGGGCTCCACACTGGTGCCGGCGGACCAGGGCCATCAGCCCCAGGGGGATCTACACACCCTCCTCACCTCCCTCCTTGCGCCCATCCAGGCACAACTCGCGACCCTTGCGGCCATTCAGACGCAACTCGCGACCCTCACGCCCTTACAGGCGCAGGTGGCGACCGCCGTCGCCATGTAGCAACTCCAGGACACTGTGTGTCCATCATCTCCTGGCTCCCAGTCCGGGTCCCCCGTCCTCCGACAGGGTGGCCACAACGGAGCTTCCTCCTCCGTTGCCCTTGACCCGACCATCTTGGTGACTGTCCACGCCCCTAACACGACGGTCGCCACGAGCCAGGCCCCCCATCTGTCTACGGGCGGACCCGCCCAGATCCCGGTCACTACGGCCACGGTACAACAACCCGCTACCATGGTCTCAGTTTTTCCGAGTGCCCCGCTTCTCCCTCCCCTTCACACGACCGCAACGCCACCTGGCTCTCCCCCCTCTGGGATGCCCCGTGCCGCTTGTGCGTCCACCCCCTCTACTCTTCCTCCGGCCACCCCTCGATCGACCTACGTTCGAGGTCTCGCGGGCGAGATTGCCCAGCTTCGGGCCGACCTCGCCCTCTTACGCCTTCAGCCACCCCCACCCTCATAGGTAGCCGCGCCTTCGGGCGCACCCCCTACCTCCTCTACCCTTCCTCCCATGCAGGCTCGCTTTCCGCGCCCTGCACACTATACAACTCCTTCCTACCTTCTTCCTACTCCCGCGGTTGCTGCGACCTCTTCTACCGCAGCACCCTCGCAGCCTGCCGCTGTTGCCACCGCCGCTCCCCCATGCGGCCCGGGCGCACAGTCAGCTGCGCCCCTTTCTCCAGGACCTGCGCGGACTTACTCAGCCGTGGCACAGGCCTCCGCTCCTCGATCCCCTCGCCGCCAAAACGGTGGTGCACCACTCATCCGCTTGTCGGACATTGCCTTGTATGATGGTACAGGCATACGC